AAATATATTTAAGCAAAACCGAGAAAACATAAAATTTGCTCGAAAAGGGAGAAACATATCTGTTGAATCATAAAACCATTTTGATACCAGTTTTCTTTATCTCCTTAGGATTGTAGGAAAACTCCCCAACCGCAAAATTAATGAATTTGTGAACATTTTTTACTTACATCTGGAAAACGGCCGAAAATAACGCAACAATCATCAGGACGTTTTCGACAGTCTTCTTTTCTTCGATAACATATCAGAAATCCCTAACCGTTTTAAAGCTAGATGCAAAAATGCGAAATTTCTGCAAAGTTTAAGAGATAACATCCCGTTTTTTAACAATTTCATAAATTTTTTTTGAGTTAGCAGGCCTAAAATCAGGATGATATTGAATGGGGGCACTTTTATATTTCGTTTTACACAACAAAGTGTCTTTGTGAACAAATTTCTTTATGTACTATTTTGCCTTAGTTTCCTCAACACTGCTCTAACATTAACAAGTGAATCAAATGTATGGGATTCTTTCAACCAATTTCAACTGAAAACATATGCATTTAAAACTGTAAAAATGCTTGTAAAACCTGCGACTTTGCAACAGTTTCTAACAGACAGGAAGAAAGTGGGTATTTTAAGCGATGTTAGTAAAATCCTGAGCAAATAAAAACAACGCAAAACTAAATTAGTAGTAGTGAAGAATCAATACGTACACTTACCACTGCCACTACAAAAAGGGCTCTCTAAAGCACCATCATCCAAATCGGACAATATTTCCTGTTTGCCCACATCACTGTCTCCTACCAGAAGGAACTTCAGCAGATAGTCGTACTGTTTTTCAGGGGGCTTGCTAGGTTCCCCGGCCATAGCAATGGAGCTAGTTTGTTTGCAACCATAATCAAATAAAATAGTGAAAGTATATCGCTGAGTAACTTTAGGCCAGCTGAATGCAACGTTTTCCGGATACAGTCAAGCCCATTTTACTTTGAGGATTGCGAGTTCGGTAAACTAATGGCCATCTGAAGCATAACAATGCAAGGAATGCCGCTCCGCTGAAGAATAATGAAACGTTCCTGCTTGGATAGTTTATTTTTTTTTTTGCAAGGTCGTTCCTTTAGTAAATAAACAGATGGATTTTTGCACTTAACCGTTAAGAAAAGCGAATTGCGGGATTGTCACACGGTCACCGATACACAACGTGGTTCAACACGTTAACACTGGGTAAATTTCAACAAAAAAATACAGTTTTTGCTACTTTTTTTCGCAAAATGGACAGAAAATTGTTCATGTCACTTTTACTGGATTCGAGTGGGGGGTAGCATGGTTGCCAGCTATTCATCCACGCCCCAAACAAATAAAAACAACTCCTATTGCAACCAATCAATGTGATTGGAGGCACAGAATTTGCATAACATGACCAGTGTTGCCAGGTCAAGTACTACAATAGCAGAAGAATAGACATAAAAAAGTAGGTAGATTTAAAAACAAAACGAAATATAATTAAATGAGTGTACATTTGAGATGAGTTCTCACCAAAACGTTAGAATTACCGTAAAAACGGTAGACCTGGCAAGCCTGAACATAACCTAAACTGTCATTAAATGAGTTCAAATACAATTATACCTGTGAATTATACTGAAGTTTTTAATAAACACATAAACATATTAGAATATAATTTGAACATTCCTTAATTATGGCATCAGGTGATTCAGAGAAGAGAAAGGTGAGTTTTTGCATATAACACGTGCTGAAAATGTATTGGAGAAACCTTCTATAAGCTGCCAAAGTTTGAGCCTTTACTGATGTGTTTTTGCTCGTAGTACGCCGTTGATTACCATTTCCCATTTGCAGCTATCTACTGGAGCTGACAAGAATTGTATACATCTGATGTTTTCACATTTTCGCAGATTTATTAGTCATAAATTTCGTCTTCAACCGGCTCCTCTTTTGTCTCGTCCCCCAATAATCACAGGAAAGTCTTGAAGTTTGGTTTTCTTGGCTTCAGCTGTATATTTTGCATATATTCGATTTGTCTTAATTTCGTGAGTATCTTACCAATCCATTTCTGATCCCAAATTATCATTCTATCTTCTACCGGATTGTTCGACACTTTTTCACAACATATTTGATTCGTATGTTGTTTCCATTTGAGTTTTCTATTTTGTATCAGTTGTTTATGTCTTCCGCCTATCCTTGCTTGATGATTAGTTCAACGATGATTTTCCAGAAACTTTCAATTCTAAAGTTTCTAGTAACCGTCTGGTCTTTAAGGGGTCTGAATCATCCCGTAAATTGAACATTAATTTTAATTCTGATGATCAAACTTTTAATTAGCACCCTTTTACATATAACTTTACAAATTTCAGGCCAACAATCAAATGCAGGACCAAAAGGAGAAAAAACGAAAGGAATCGATCCTGGATCTTTCCAAATATTTGGAGAAAACGATCAGGGTTAAGTTCGCTGGAGGCAGAGAAGCTAGTGGGATATTAAAGGGCTACGACCCTCTCTTGAACCTCGTACTAGACAATACAATCGAATACCTGAGAGACCCAGACGATCCGTACAAACTAGCGGAGGATACAAGGGAACTAGGCCTTGTTGTGTGCAGAGGAACTAGTGTAGTTTTAATTTGTCCCATGGATGGCATGGAATCGATTCCCAACCCGTTCATTTCACAAGACTAATAATAACTATATCTGTAAGTAAATATAAATGGTGTTTTTCTCTCGCGTTCATTGGAGGAAAGGTAGCGAATTGAAACCAAAGTACAACGTGGCAACAACAGTGTTTAATTAGGGCAGAAAGTAGAAACAGTCTAAAGAACTCATCAGTCTATTTGTCATTATATCATGGCAAACACTACTTACAAGTCTATCAGACTTAGTAACGTTGAATCTCTAAGCCGGGAGATTTGCAAAGTAACAACCAAGCTGAAAAACTGATATAAAGATTTACCTATAGATAAATGCTAGTTGTCCATTTTATGAAAGCATCGAATTAAGACTTGGGAAATTTCGTTAGATGGTATCCAATTTTCTAGCAGTGTTCTTCAGTTTGCCTGAACTTCTTTGGGTGTTAAGCTTTCATTCAGATTAGCTGATTCAGTGCACTTCCATAGTCCGTAGGTCTTGCCGATAGTAGTCTGCCATAATCTCAATGTACCATCTTCAGATCCCGAAGCATACAACTCGCCATCCGGAGAGAATTTTATGCAGTGAATCGGGCCGAAGTGACCTTTGAACGACTCTGCAAAAAAATCCCAGGATTAATTTACCCGATTGAGACATCTATTTTTTCGCAGTTATAAAGCAAACAATGTTTTTTAAACCCTTCCAAAACAAAACGTAACTAATAATTTTTATATCATATTAAATTACCTATTTCTGTGCCATTTTGATAGTCATACTTGTAGACCTTCAGGTCATCCCCACCTGCGACAAAGATACTCTTGTCCGGATGTAGGGATGCAGAATTAACAGGCGATGGAATGGTATATTCTCGGATTTTATTGAGGGTTTCCGCATCATAAAAGGCCACTTTGTTGGAATAAGCCACTGTTAATACCGAACCGTCTTTGGATACTTCCAAACTGTTGGGGCTGAACGGGAAAGACACTTTGTGGATTTCCTGAAATTTTCAATTCATTAGGATTTATTTTTTTGTCTTTTTCGCCAATTTACCTGTTTATTTGACCTATCCCAGACTCTTAAGGTTTTGTCATCTGCACAAGAAACCAGGTGCGTATCATTTCTGAAGAACAAAATGTGTCTTATGCCAGCTGTGTGGCCTGAGAACACTTCTGGAACTGCAGATAGACAATAGATTAGATTTTAATAGAAAGTTTCAGTCAAGGCGCTTACCAGCTTCAGGTTTATTTAGGTCAAATAGCCGAACCAACTTCTCATTACTGGCTGTTGCTAACAAAGCGGAATCTCGAGAAAAATTTACACTTTTTACGATGTGATTGTGCTGGAAGGAATGCAGTTCTTCTCCAGTAATGGCATCCCACACTTTGCCTGAAATGGATCCAGTATAATTTGGCGCCTAAGCTAAACGGTTAAAAACATTTACCAGAAAAATCAGCAGCCCCACTGGCAGCTTTTGTAGCATCAGCGTTTAGGGCTACGCCCCAAACAGCCCCTTTATGTCCTTCAAATGTGCCAATCCAGTCTCCAGTGTCTCCTTGTCTGAGCATGGGTTTTCCGTCTGAAGTAGATTTAAACGTTAAAATTAACTGTTACTTATGTGGAATTACGGAAACTTTGCATGGTTGAGTTGGATTTGGAGCGGAATATTAATCAATCCGAAACTAGGCAAGTGTGGCTTACCAGCTTATTTGTTATTGGTTTTGAGAATTCTAGCAATAAACTTCGTCCATATGCTGATAAATTTTGCATTGTAAATTAAGGCTTAAGAAATGAAAATACCAGCATTAAAGTAAGTCGCAAATTGCTAAATTATCTCGAAGTAATTGTTGTTATCAAAGGATTAGTAGATACGGAGTTATTATATGCAAAAAAGGTTGAAGCAGGAAGATCGACAGCTTGCCCTTGATAGTTATCAAAGGCTTTCCATTCAAATCAAAGGTCGTTTTCTTTATAGGGTCGACCGGCGGCCGAAAAATCTAGGCCAAGGTGTTATTCGTGTCTCCAAGAAGGTTAAATGCTGCAGGTATACAATATGTTTGACGAATTTGTAGTCAACAAATCCTGACCTTACAGAGTTCGTGTTTACCTTTACAGGCAGAAATCAAGAAATAGCTGCTCTCGGTGATCTCTGAGAAATCCAAGTGGACGACGGGTCGCGTATGTCCACTGCAAGTCAATGGCGTTTGTCGTAAGTTAGCCATTTTCACAAAAATTCGAAGTAAAACTATAAACAATGCACTTTACACGAGTCCGACGAACGAACTGAAGTTTTCAACTAGCGCATATATCGCAATCGGCTCCTTGCTTAAATGACATGCGCAATTCAGTTTGAGGTTACGTTCAGAGACAAGTCTTGTCTTTATCTATGGTCTTGTCTGTGGTTACGTTAATCAAAATCCTGAAACTTCTAACAGAGACAAGTCTACTTGTCTTTGCTTCTAATTACTAAAACGGGTATGTATATGGTATGGATTAGGACTCGGAGCCAAACTCGAATAATTCGAGTATTCAAATATTCAAAAGGCGAATAATTATGTCTAGTCATAACTCGAATAATCGAATACTCGAATACACAAACATTATCAAACTCACAAAGTGCAAATATCTTTATATGCACTATATATACTACACTGTATACTAGCTCTGTGTTTAAACTCGATTCCGTTGTTATCTGATATATTTTTTAAGGTGAGCAGCTTTTGATGTATGATGACAAATTGCTTGGATTTGAGTGAAATTTTGTCTATTTAAATTCGGCTCCGTTGTTTTCTGCGAACAGTTGAGTGAAAGAGTTACTATGTTACATAATAAAGCAATCTACTGTGGAAAACCTGACTATTTAAAGTTAAAAACTGAGCAAAAAAGTTGAAAGTGGCAAATCTGAGCAGTCCCGACTTAGAGTTCATAAAGCGTTCTATTTAGGGTGTAATTCACAGCAGAAGAACACTAATAATTGAAGGTGTGTTTACAGCAAAACACCCCTATGTTACATAATAAAGCAGTCTACTGTGGAAAACC